CTAGTGGTACCATTTAGCCAGTATAATAGCATGACCTGGTGTTTGAAACTCAGAAGATGCGTTTTTTATGTCAAGGCTGGACAGAAATTTAAGCCCATTATAACTTTAAAAAATCCAACTAAAATGTGGCTAAGTGATGCTTTCGCCTCATTTCATTTTAGACACTTTTACTGTCAGGCATTTTTAATTATAGACCAGCATTCGCCCTATTTCTTTAAGGCCGTGAAGGAATTGTAGATAAATTTATGCACAATGGCATGAGTAGGTCCAATGCTTCCGTTGAATTTGATATTACCCTGTTCTCCAAAGTTATTCTTATCCAGGCTGGGGTGGACTGCAGTTTTGACCTCGCCTGAGCTAGTTTCATTACACTCCAAGAGAGACTCGAAGACTGATAGCGCCGCATATAGTCTTGACACGTTAACTACTAGGATGCCCATATGGAAACATGAGGCTTAATCATGCAATTGTGAGAACACTCAATTACCAGTTCTTCCTCTCCTTAAATGGAATAGGGTAAAAACAGCTATGATATCGGGCATACTGGTAGTCTAGACAACCTGCATATACATTTAAATTATTAATTAAGTAGCATATAAGGGCTAAACCTATTAGTTGAAGACTTTTCAATGGTTTCATGTGTTACCTGAGTCCTCAGAAATATCTACTCTTCCCCTCCTTAACTTGCATGCTTGCCCATAGCTACATCCTCCGATGTCAAAATTGTTTTTTACCCTCATCGTCTTAGTATGAACAGCCTCATATTCGTCACTTCATATAAACGATAAAATGTATCGTAGCTATGGAGACCAAGATAGTGGTGCCTTCTGTTTCGGTTGCAGTCTTCTTTAGCTGTATAGTGTTGGTTCGAATTTGTTTTCGCAACTTGGTCGGAGCGTCAGAAAGATCTTGTCAAACGTATCTAGTCCTGTCTCATCTGCCATAGTATTTGTGATTTCAAGCATTGGGCCATTGACTTGCTACATTCCCAAACGTTTCGCCGACATCCTCGTTGAGAGGCGTCATCGTAGGCACAGTTCAACCGTTGTGGCATCACACCTCGCACCTACTTTTTGTTCTACCTTTTAGTGCCCCACTTCATATGGCCCATTCACTTATTCACACAATTCTGTGCTCTCGTCTCCTTCAATGTCGCCTAGGAGTGTGTCGCTACAAGTGGCTTTAATGAAGCCTCATGATCTCCACCACCGGTACCAAATTCCGTTTGTAGGGCTCCTGACCTACATTCTGTTCTCCTTTTTTTTCTACTCGCTTGTCAATTGGCTGTCATTTAATGCTAAGTAAACGACGATAGTAGCAGATAGGAAGACCAAGACGGTGCAGTCTCTTTTCTCGTCGCAGACTCCTTTCATTAGATATAACTGATTTGACCTCGCTTACTCAATTTGGTCACGATGTTAGGACTACTTAGATAAACACATCCTGTCCAAAGTCATAATAAATTTCAGATTCAGACCGTAGACTTGGTACATTCATAGAGGTTTCATCGGAATCGTCCATGGGCCCAGCCGACCTTACCACCAAACTAAAACTCGTCAAAGAGACAAGTGAAGTCCATCCCTTGACCAACTTTCGGTGGAAAGATTGAGGTATCAGGTCCAACAATTGTGGCGTCACAATTGTTGGATAGAACGTTAGTCAAGAGATAAACATCACTTATTTGTTTTGACGAATTATGGCTTGGCGCTAAGAACGATAAGAGTCGTTGACGATACCAACAACGACTGGGGATGTACCAAGTACAAGGTCTGAAATGAGAAATTTCATGACTACTGTGGTAGAGAAGTTCAAAAAGGTAGGTTCATCTATATTCTCCTGACAACACCAGCAAGTCGCGAAAACGAGAGTAAACCACGTCTGAATAACGCTAATTCTGTCAAGAAGGTAGGAGGCTTAGCTTAGGCTGGAAAAGGAAGACTATAGCTTGTCACTTTATAGACTCAGAAAAGGGAAGAGCCACAGGAGGGCAACGCTGTGGTCACGGATAAGCTCTTCTGAATCTCTCACATTTAGGCCAGATATATATACCACAAATTAACAACGATTGGTGGGGAGAATAATTTAGATGATGTTGGGTATTCTTTTAAGAAGTGCCAACCATGTACTTGACAGACAACACAGATACGCATTTTGAAGATATCGTGTCAGTCAATGGCATTCAAGCAAATCCCAAAGAAACTGGCTAAGATGAGCCTTTGTGGTATTCTGTCTAGTATAATCTATAGATATTTTTTCACAAATTACATATTCAATGTAAGATTTGCTGTATACATTTAAAAAAATGATCATCATACAGTTGAAAAAGAATATCTTTCCAAAAGGATGAGATTTTGTAAAAGTTTGATAGTATTCTTGGAACTGACAATCCTCAGGGTTTGAAACAAATTGTCCATGCTTCTCTGGGGATATTCTGTATCTTAATCCAATCCATATATTTTGTAACTGCAAAGTCATTTTCTACTGATTTATTCCCAAATAAATGTCTGCTTTTGCTACATGGAGCAAGTCAGCAATCAATATTTCTTTACATTTTACAAATACATTTTATGAATTAATAAAAATGTATCTAGCTATAAATCTGTTCTCCTGGTCGTCCCTTTATTCAAACACTGAGTGGCGCAATCTAACGGAACTAGATTAGGCCAGTCTTAGTCTTTACTAACAACACGATATAATAAAGTATCTTGTGAAGTGAAGACATCACGCATTTCCCAGGCAAATCTAGCATTTTGTTGAACGTATTAATCATCTGAAAATAAAAACATTGTTGAGTTTTGAATTTCACTGTTACCAAAAATTGTGGCTACGTGAGGCCAAACATTTCATGCTGCAGCGCGCACGCATAATCATGGGAAAAGCGAGTGAAAAGAATGAGTTTAAGACGAGTAAGTGAGCATTCGTAGACTGCATCCCACCGGAGAGGTATACAGTACATCTGTGGGTGTGGCTAAGCTGGCTAGATATGGTAATTCTTACCAATAAGGAATAGTAACTTGTCCCAAAGTTGCAAATTATGATAACTAATGAGTATCTGAACGCCTGCCTAATTCTGCTTGCCCTCATTGTGAGCAAGAGTTGAGAAGGTATGAAAAGCAAAGCTAGCCTCCTCTGCACTTCAAGCATAGTAATGGCATTGCAGTTCCTTGTCTCACTTCCCGATTTCCGATTATATAAATATTGTATGTGCAATAGTTGCGTATTGCTTCTAGAGAAGAAAGTTATTCATATAAACGGATGTGAAACCTCCCTATTGGCTAAATTTTCAAAACTCATTTTCATAAAATTGAATTCTCTATTCATACACCAATAGTGCCATCTCTTTAACACATTCATTTCACATATTAAAATAACTTTCTGATATTGCTTCGCTTTTGAGTGTTTGTATTTTATTCATGTGCAATTGCTTGACAAGATCCTTTGACTTCGTTGCTGCTTCAATTCAATGTGCTTCTCTGTGTCAGCCATATTTCATGTCGATAGTATTGTCCGCATCAATCGCATGCACTTCATAAATTCGGCTTATTGCTGTTGCAACCGACCAAAGTTGACAAATATGATACATTCAATGCAAACGCAATTATTAATAAACTTGTATATTGCTAACTTTCTGATGGTAGACAGTGCAAAAGTTGAGCATTATTTGCTTGTGCGCAGCTAAGTGCTTTTCTTCTATATCGCTATTAGCTATCTTTCCCATATACACAGCGCTGAAATGCGGCATCTTCATCTATGCATACGCCTTTTTTCCCATAACCGAACACTTTACAAGGCATGCGAGTAAAATTTTTGTATCTTGGGCACGGAATGCAGATATTTGGTGAAATATTTTTACATTTTAATTTTGTTACTTAGAGTAGTAGCATTTGTTACACTCGTTTTTCTTGCTTTCAATTTTTATCACTAGCGAAAGGCCATTGAAGTTCAGGCCCTGAATGCGAAAAATCTCTCCCCAGAGGAGGCACTTAAGGCAGCAAAAGAGGCCTCCTTAGCAGCCGAGGCAGCGGTTACCGGCAGGCGGCCTTCACAGCTGGTGCGAGATGCCGAGAAGTTGCAGGAAAAAAGAAGGTTCGAAGCAAAGGTCAAGGAAGAATTGAGAAGATTGGAGAAGATGCGCGTTGATCGCCTGACCGATGCATGTATAAATACGTGTAGGTTGCCAGGATTTTAAAAAATAAAATCGTTATTTCTCTATTAAGATTATATTATTCTATGAGCATCATTTTCGAAACCCAATTTCTAATATTTCAAATAGAGTATAAATGTAAAACAATAATAATTAACTAAGTAAAATAATAAATAATATGAATAAAAATGATAATATATACATAAGGTATATAAAATATTTTAACATTTTAAATGTTTAAATATTATTTTAACTCATTAACTTTTTTGGAGTACACTAACCTATTTTTATGCCTCTTGGTACTAGAAGTAGCTCTTATTTTTATTTTATAATAAGTGAGGTACTTTAATAGCCATCGAAATGTACAATTAAGGCTATAGAAGAAATTAACGAATTCTTTTGCATGATATCTAGGAGATTTAGATTTAACCTATTCAACTTTTGTCTGCTACCATTTTTGTTACCCATCATACAACTTTTCTCTGTTTAACATTAAGTATATTTTACTCGGCAATAATAGAGTCTAATTGACAAATGGAAGGGCTAGTTCAAATATTTTACTTTGTCAAACACTCCGTCAGAATTTTTTAAGAAACGATTATCGGCCCATGTCATACTTAGACAGTTACCACTAGAAATATACAGAAGAAATACAATTATTAGACATCAAATAAATGCTGTTCTTATAAACTGCCTTTTGGCTTAGTTTGTATATCCTTTAAGGATATGCATGAGGAGCCTTCATGCATGTCGAGTTCATGCACATGGAACGCACAACCAGACACGATTAGTCGTGG